TTCGGTCAACAAAATTTCTTACCTGATTTTTGATTTCGCAGACCATAAAATAACGAGTCAACTTCCTTTTGATTAGAGATGTAAATAAGGTGACTTGAAACACCAAAACTCAATTTCAGGTGGCGTCTCTGAAATAAAATAATCCCTATTCGAAATGTCACTTTAATTGGAAAAATTATTTTCTTTCAAAACAAGCAATTCAGTTTTGAGAGGAAAATAGGGGTGTGACAATGTCAATTACAGAACTTTGCAAAACCTGGTCAACTTAGAACTTTGCCTAACTTCTAGTGCAATAAATCAATGTCAAGTATGTGTTGTTGAAACAACCTTTGAATTGATTTACACTGACATTATGAAGTCAACACCATCTCGTGGTGGAAAAAAATGTTTCATAAATTTTATTGGCAATTGCAATAGATATTATTATGTTTATTTGCTAAATGGTAAGGAAGAAGCAATAAAAACATACATGCAATTATAACTTAAGTTGAAAGTCAGTTGAATATTTTCATGATTTGAAGTGGTAGATGTGAGGAATATGAATCTTTTTCTTTGCAGAAAATGAAATCATTCATCAAATTATAGCACATTCTCACCTCAATCTAATGAAATTGTTGACAAGAAAAACTGAACTTTGAAGGAAATGTTGAATGTCCTATTTATAAGTACATGTTTACCATAAAATTTGTGGGGGGTGCTATCATTATAGCCAAAGAGAACAACAAAAATTTTGTCTGTTCAAAAAGAGAAACAAAAGTTCTATTTATTCATAAAGGAAGTAACAAATAATAAGAAAAAACTTTTGTTTATTAAAAAAAAAAAGATGCAACAAAAAGTTTTGTTTGTCCAGGCTGTTTGTATCTAACAATTTTCAATATAGTCTATTCCATATAAGAAATGAAAATGAGGAAACTATTTCTAAACTGGTAAAAATAGGACCTAAGAATGTGGATTATATGTTCATTGGATATGCTACAAATAGTAAAGCATGTCAAGTTATGGTCCATATGATCGAACCATCGGGTAGTTAAGTAAAGGGTCTAAACGACCTTGGAATGAATCAAAGGAGAATGTATTTAATAAAGAGATTCAGAGGGGTAGTAAATGTAAAATGACAAATTACTTCCTTTGAATTTGATTTTGTAATATTTCTTCTTGAAAGTGAGTCTCATAAATTTGAAGAAGTTATGCTCTTTGTGGACACATTTTGGAAAGAGGTTGTCAATAGTAAGATTGATTCAATCTTAAGCAACCGTACTTAAGAGTTACTGATGTGATTGAAAAGGTACTCGACAATTGAATTATGCTAGAGTATTGAGAAGCATGATATATATCATGAAGTGTACACGATCAGATATAACATGTGCTATTAGTAAACTGAGTTAGTTCATAAGTACTCTCAATCAAACTTATTATATGACAATGAAAAGAGTTCTGAGTATTTAAAAGGGATAATACGCAAGTACCCTCTCAACATATGTCAATCTCAGAGACACACTTATACTATAATAAGGTCCTATTACCCCCTGATCTTATTTTATTAATAATTTTCTACCCCTTTTTGGCCTACGTGGCACTATCTTGTGGGCCCAACACTGGTTGATTTTTTTCCAGCTAGTGCCACGTAGGTCGAAAAGATGTAGAAAATTACTTATAAAATAAGTTTTGGGGGGTAATATAGGGCCTTAGTATAATATAGGCGTGTCTCTGAAATTTCGGACGTAAGTTGAGGGGGTACTTGTGCATTTTCCCTCATTTTCCCTATTTAAAAACATACGTAAAAACTATTGCTTTCCATTAAACTAGTATTCAACAGTATTGAAAGAATATAGTGATGCAAATTGAATCACTAGGTCAAATGAAATAAATCTACTAGTGGATATGTATTTACTCTTGGAGGAGGAGCAATCTCTTGGAAATCTTCCAAACAGAAATGTATCGCTCGTTCTACTATGAAATCTGAGTTTATCACTCTAGATAAGGCCGGTGAAGAAGTTGAATGACTCTGAAATTCCTTGAAAGATTTTTGGCCCAAACCTTTAGCTCCAGTATGCATATACTATGAGAGTTAATTTGTAATAGAATGGTCATAGAGCATGATGTATAACGGAAGGTTTCGTCATATATGACATAGATATAATATCGTTAGAGAACTACTTTCTAGTGAAATTATCATAATTGACTGTGTAAAGTAAAAAGATAATGTGTCGGATCCACTTATAAATGGCCTAACTAGAGAGGGAGTTGATAGGCTATTAAAGGGAATTGGACTATGGCTGAGAACAAGTCATTGTGGTGCTAACTCTACCTAGAAGACTGAAAATCCCAAGATCTAGGTTCAAGGAGATAAAATAAAGTTATTAATGGTCAAAATATTTCTTTTTATGATCCATTCTCTTGATAAGACAATGATCAGTAACAAAAATAAAGACATTAGGACTTTTTAATGGTTTCTAAGTTTGATACATGGTATATCAAATGGTGTATCTACGAGATAACACATTTTGAAATCACCTATTGTAAGAGTGAAATATAAGCCGCTTCAAGGAGAATCAGGTAAGGCCAGTTCTCTAAGCACTTATTAACCGAGATGTGTTCGTGGCTAAAATGAACAAAATAATAAGAATAAAAAATAGTTCAAGGGTAGGTTGTGTGACTTATTGTTTTACTTTAAAATGTATGATAGTAAAAAATGGTGAAAAAATGACTAAATTTTGGAAAATCAGTTAATGTTATGATTTAAGAGAAATTAATTTTCCAAATTACAGAGTCGCCACTTGTTTTTTTGTAAAATCAAGAAAAAAACTTAAAACTATTTTTCGAAAGATTTAAAACAGATAAAAATTAATTGAAAAGGGTTCGAAGTTCAAATGTACATTCCGAGAAGGTGTTAGGCCCTCGGAATGCCCACTAACTCGCGGTTGACCGGCAATTTGACTAAATGACCTTCAATAATTTATTTTAAGACTAAGTAAAAGAAAATTGTACTTTTAAATTATTTACTTTCTATCATCATTTTTTATTTAGTTATCATCAAATTGGTTCCTTTGCGTGTGAAGGGGAAGAACAATGTGCTGTTACCCACGCCTGCCAAGAGTTTTCGCGCGTGAAGAAGAAGAGGAATTGGGTTGGGCCTTAAAGGGAAACAGGGTAAAATTTAATGGGATGGAAAAGGGAATGGGTTTTGGGTTGAGGTGGGCTGGGAATTAAATTAACTTTCTGAAAATTTAGTTAAAAGGAAAGAGGAAGGAAACAAAAAGTTGGGCCTGGAAGTTTATTTAAAGTGGACTGCTGAAATTTGAAAAAAAGAGAAAAATTATTGGAAAAATAACTTAAATACACAACTATAATTTTTATATTCTCCAATTTTCCCTACTTTTTTTAAATATTACATAATTCCCTATTTTTTTTATTTTAGTGTAAGTTTTTAGATACATTACACTCTCTCTCCTATAATACACATTTACCAATTTTAATGCCTATTTTTTCTCCATTAAAACACTCAACCTCTTAAATCAGTTTTTGAATTTTAAATTTTTTCCATTTAAACACTCAACCTATTAATCAGCTTTTTAATTTTGAATTATTAAATTTAATTAAATTTAAATAAAAGAACAAATTTTGAAATTTTGAATTTCAAAATTCAAAAAATATGGAAGCAGGGTAACTTCCACTGCATTCTACCGTTTTGTTCTTACCAAAGTCACCTTTCAATTCTTTTTTTTTCCCTAATCGTCTTCATCCCACTATTTCTTCATAACTTTGAATCTTCTCAACCCAGCAGATTTTTCTATTTTCTTCTTTTTATTCTTAATCCATATTCGACTATTTCTTTCTAATATTGAATCGTAAGAACCAAGACCCTTTTTATAGTTAATCCATCATCAATTCGTATATTCTTCTCTTTTTCGTTTTTGTTAATTGTTCTATTACTTCATAGTAATGGATCCGTCAATTAATAGAAGGATATATGATTCCGATGATGATAATTGGAAAGAAAATAGGAAAAAGTCTTTGCATGATCCTATGAATCTTCAAAAGGATTCAAACAAAGATCATGGCGAAACATCAAAGGTTGTAAAAATACAACCAAAAAGGAAAAAAGAAGCAGCAAACACTGTTGTTAGGCCTACATTGTCTCGGGTTAGTATATTGGTACTTAAAAATGGTGTTGTTTAAATTAATAAAATTTTTAAGGAATCAAGTGTGCTTGCTGATACATTTTAAAAAGGGTGTATAGTGTTTTAGATGGTCAATTGATACGTGAATTTGTTGTGTTTCATAATATTTTATATGTATCATTAGGTTTTTGAAAATTATTATAATGTATCATTCAATAAGTGTAGTAAAGTATAATCTGTGCTTGATGATACATGTTGAATCTGTGTGTACATTGTTTAGTCAATGTAATGATACATGTAGTAGCTATGTATCACATGTTCTGCATGTAGTATGAATTCCTGTATGATATCATGTATCAATAAGGTATTAGTTGTTTAGTTGATTTACTCATACATGTTTTGAAACTTGTTATAATGTATCATTCATTAAGTTTAATAAATGCTTCATCAGATATAGTTGATGATACATATAGATTCTTTGTGTATGTTGTTTAGTCGCTGTTTATGATACATGTATTAGACATGTATCACATGTTATAATGTTTTATTTAATTCAATGATACATGTTATAGACATGTATCACATGTTTTTCATATAGTATGAAATTCTGAAAACTGAAACCATGTATCATTAAGTTATTAGTTGTTTTATTTAGTAGTTATATTTCTATATCGTTTTAATTTGCGGTTTTATTTTCAAATTGCAGCCACTGAAGTACAAGATTAAAAAGATACCAACACATCCCATAAGGTTTGCTGTTAACTTTAACAACAATTTCCTAAAGGACTTTGAAAAATACGTGGGGGATAATGTTATCCAAATGTTTAAGGATACAATTTTTGGACCCTTTTTAGACATCTCTAAATGTAGTTTTTAGGGCCAAAATAACTAAGTGCTTATTGCTTTTAGAATTGGAACAAAGCAACCCTAATGTGTTGCATATTAGACATTCCAACGGGTGTGTCCTGAAATTTGGTATAGATGATTTTGCATTATTAACAGGACTTAAGGTCAGAGGAAATACCAATGATTTCAAATACCCAGAACAAACTAATTGTATGCTTTTTAAAAAGTATTTCCCTGGTGCAGTCAATAGTGTTACAAAGCATCAACTAGTTCAAAGGTTTAAGATGGGTAATTGGGAGAGCAATCAGGATGCACTCCAAATGTCTATACTGTTCTTTATTCATACATTTGTATTAGCTACTATTGATAACACAGCGATATCTATTGTCGACTTTCTAATGGTTGAAGATGGTACATATCAACATTTTCCTTGGGGTCAGCTATCATTTTCCAAACTAATTGGTTCACTTAGACAGGATTTTGACGTTAGTAAAAAGTTGTACCAATTATATGGGATGCCATATGCACTAAATGTTTGGATATACGAATGTGCATCCAATTTAAATTCAGAAATAGCTGTGAGAGAACGCAATGTCATCCCAAGAATATGCAATTGGAGAGTTGTGTCTGAAAAGGCAAAGTTTGAAATGCTTATGTCCACCATTTTCCAAAAGGTAAAATTTTATTTTTGTATATGGAATATCGTTATTTATGTCTTTGTGATACATTATGAATTATTACTGTATCTAACAATTAAATTATCTTATGTGTTTGTGATACATTTAGAATGCATGTTCAAACATTGTCCCAACAGCAGAGGAAATTGAAGCTTTTGATATTGCTCAAGTTGAACATGCTCATTCTACATCAATACCATTAGTACAACCAAACGAGCAAGATGATTTAGATGATTTCTCCACAAGACCGCCAGAACAGTTATTGAGGACATATTCTAGAGTGTCTGATACATCTCCTCCACCACCGCCAAAAAGAAGAAAAAAATCGATTATTCAAAAAAAGAAGGTGTCAGAACAGAAACAACCTGATCAATCAAATGTGTCTCCGACACCGGATGATGATGTACATGTTTCCATGTCAAGTCTGCCTCAACATTCGTATGCTGATGATGTACATGGTTCTGTTCCACAAGTGTCACCGAAATCGGCTGCTGATGTACATGGTTCTGTTCCAGACGTTTCTCAGAACCCGGCTGCTGATGTTCATGGATATGCAGATTCATAGAATGTCAACAATATAATTCCTCATATTGAAGAGTTGAAAGGATATTTGAAAACTTACGTAAGTAAATTATTTTGTAATTTTTAAACAAACTTTTATTTATCCTAAATGTATCTACAATTTTTAGGTTGACAAGAAATTTGAGGAATTGATTATTTTGATAAAAGCAAATCACTCCCAGCTGATGCAATCTATTAGCAAAGAGAACATCAATTTTCAGGCTGATACAAGCACATTTCAGTCTGACAAACAAACATCTCAGCAAATACCGGTTGATCTCGATGATATGGGTGGTGTAGCTGAGGATGGTGGTGGTTTTTCTGGTAAAAATGATGAGCATCATATCGTCGATGATGCAGGGGATGTCAATGTAGATGGTGTTGGTGTTGCCATAAATGAGGGTGAACCAATAGTCAGTGATCCAAAGGTAATGTTTATGATACATTGGGTATGTTGTGTATCATGCACATATAGTCAATGCTTTGTATCATGATCATTTTTTTTCTCATTTTATATTCTGTCATGTATCATACATATTTAATCAATACTATGTATCATGTGATTGTTATCAATGTTACGTATCAGCACAAATTATATTAACAGTTTTTATTTCAAAATTGCATATTCAGGATGGTGACGCACATCAGTCGCACCAAGACTTAAATGAACATATCATGGACCAAGCCGTTGACGACAATGTTCATCACAACATCCCTCATGTGTTGCCCGAAAAAACAACAACGGATTCATCGGTACATTTTTCAATTTTGATTTATGACACACAATTTCATTACACACAAATTTATTCTAAAAATCATTACGTCATATTATACAGGATTCTTCAACTTCAACAACAATATCGCCATCAACTCAAGCAGCAATAGATGCGCTTATCAAAGATTTGGGTAAAGATGCTACCAATGCTAGACCATTATATTCTTACGATCCAAAGAATATAACTAGCAGCCAGTACTTGTTGATCGACAATCAATTACCCACTGAAATTCCAATAACGGAGATTGCTGTTAAAACTGATGCAGTCACTCCTGCGCATAAAAATAGAATGCCTTCGAGAAGGATTCAATCTCCATATTGTACTTCTTTTGGGTCAAGCGAAAAGGGAAAAGAGAAATTGAAGGATATGGCTCGACTCCATTTCCCGTTCGAAGGATGTGGCATTGCAGATAAAGTTTCACCGAAACTGATTGAGGATTACATGAATTGGTTGTTGAGGGGGCTTCTAAAAAATCATAACAATAAGTAAGTTTTATACATTTTTTTTCAGTGTTAGGCGTAATCATTTTATATACAACTAATTCATGATACTTTGTTATATAAAAACTGTAAATAATTGAGTGTTATGTATCATGTACATACATTGAAAACTTATGTATCATATATGCAGGAACCCATCGGACGATAAATACAGATCAAGATCTTCTTCTTTTGGATTTACGATGATGGACTTTGTTGTTGCTTTTCCAATGAACAAGAATTGGTTTTATGCCATGTCACAGCCAAATAAGTGTTAGTCTGATGAGGTAAAATATTAAACTATTTATGAAATATGTATCAGTCATAACTATATTATAACATCATGATACATTATCTATAAGTATCATGATATTTAATTAGCAATGATACATTATGTATAAGTATCATACTATTTAATTTGCAAAAGTATCATACTATATTCACATTATTATATTTCTTTTTTTATATTGTTTAGATGTAAATAATTTCTTACTCTGTTTTCATTTTGTTTATAGCACATCGATGTGATTTTTTACTACCTTCGTAAAAAATCAAAACTTTGCAGCATGGATCAATACAGATACACAACAACCCACTGTTTGTTCATGTCACATGTAAAAAACTGTTATGATAGATATTACATGGACGATGATGATGATAGTCTTACTACACAAGAACATATTGATCGCGCTTCAGTTGTATCTGTACATGAGAGGTCAATAATTAACATCATCAAAGGGTTTGGAATACCAGCTGCTTTACCATGGCATCTTGTAGATGAGGTCTACATCCCAATTAACTGTGATCAACAATTCCATTGGGTGTTGGCTGTTGTTGAGTTGAAAAACAGGTTGATAAGGGTTTTTGACTCATCAATTAGCACAAGGAAACAAACAATTCCTCATGAGATCAAGATGTTGTCTAAAATGCTTCCTTCATACCTACTTGACAGTGGATTTTTTGAAGAAAATGAACGCACAAAATTTGCTGATTGTCAAGCATATAAAGACAACAATAATGGCTCACTTCTGGAGCCTCAAGTTCCTTTCATGATAGAATTTGCACAAGACATCCCTACACAGGAAAGCGATAGCCTGTAAGTATCAAGAATTTTTTCATTTGCCCTTTTTAATGTATCATTAAGTTTTTTAATTTATTATGCATTTTTTGTAGAGACTGTGGGTTATATGTTACTGCATTTGCTGAGTATATCAGTGACCAAATCAATATATCTTATGCTGATTTTAATCCTGATTACCTGCGTCAACGATATGGAGCATTGCTGTGGAGTTATGGAAATGAGAAGGCTAAGTGCGGATATGTTAGCGACAATGATGATCCACCAAAATCCAGGGGCGTAGTCACACCACCACCAGAAGAAGATTTAGTTCACATAGCGTAGCATTTCATGATAAACAATGTTTTAATGTTATATTTATTATTTTTATATGTTATTGAACAACTATTTTTATCCTTTTTAATGTTGTTTTTTTGGTTTTGTCAATTTCCATGAATATTTTTTTCACATTACGTAACAAATTTGTTTATATTGAAGATATAAATATCAAATGATAGACGTAAAGATTTTTAAATTTTTAATTAAAAATAGACATAATAAATATACTGACAAAACAGGGTTTAAATCATTTAATAAAGTATAATCAAAGTATTTATAATCAAACATAGACATAAAGATTTTTAAATTTTTCATTTAATCTAGATGATACACTGCCAAAACCAAATGATACATATGTACCAGAAACACACTAAAAATAACTGATACATTGGCCAAACCGTATGTATAATGTACAATATGTTACACTCTAATCCTTAAATTTTACAAGATATTTAGGTAAATTGAATAGCATATTCATATGAATTGCTATTATTTTTTTAAAGGAAAGTTATTTACTTTATATTTCAATAAAAGCATATCAAAAAAAGCATTACACAAGTTAAATTATATAAATTCACATGATACATGATTTATAGTCATTCTAAAGTACTCAATTACATTAACAATATATTTGTATTTTTTATCTAATGGAGATGTATCATTGTGCAAACCAATGATACACACTAAAAGTACATGATACTTTATATAAACAATGTGTACAAAAAATACACAATAAATGTACATGATACACTAGATTAACCATATGTATCATGTACATTATGTTATCTTACTGTAGCATAAGATTTATATATTCAAAACAAATATTGACACAAGTATTTTTATCAACACCAATAATAAGAAAGTATTTATAATCATAAGCAAGACTTCAAATGTAATTACAACATGTTTGTACGTTTATTTATCTAAACACAAAGTTTTCAATTTGCAGTCGTAATTAAAACTGAAATTCATTTAAATGTTTACGTGATAAATTATTCTTTATATCATAGAAACATTACGACAAATTCACTTCTCTTTTGGGTAGAAAGTACAAGTTCTTCTGTTGTGCCCTTCTTGTCCACATTGTCCACAACAGTTTGTGTTCACCGAAATCTTTTCATCTGCATTCTTTCTTCTTCTTTTTCTTGATCGTCCAGATGATCTTCTGTATCTAGGTGGATACACAGTTTCAGCTACCACGTGTTTAAGATCTGACCAATCTTTCTTATCTGGCATTGGCATCATTGGAATTTCATATGTTTTTGCCAACGCATCAGGCTTGTAATAATCAGAGCCAATACGGATTCATATCGGTGACATTCTTTTTTTTCAATACAGCTATTGCATGTGAACAAGGTATCTCATCTAGTTGAAATCTACCACAACAACATACTTTCCGCTCAAGACAAACAATATATCTTCTTCCATTTTCATAAACCGAGAAAATAAACTCAGATGATGGAACAACCTGTGTACATTAAAAATTTTAAATATATAACTTTTAAAAACCAAATCATGTTAAAAAAGCATAATGATACACAGAATTAGATATATATAATATAAAGTATCATATAATGATACATACCTCCATTTTTGAACTTTTAGCCGCGTTTATAATCAACAATTCCTCAAATTTTCTACCTAATGTGTCCTTTGTGTATGAGGCTACTTCTCTGTTTTTGCAATGCCAAGATCCAAAAAGAATTCTAACCTCTTCCAAGAATTCTAATATAGTTAATTGGCGTGCTTCAACAAGACAACCATTGATACATTCTGCAATGTTTGAAGTCATCATTCTACCTCTGTTTACTGTTGCATGAACTCTTGACCACTTTTTCGTAACCTGCATATTCAAGGTACTCCTTAACCCTGTGATCAATTCTATCAACCTTAGCCATCAACTTATCAAAATCTTCCTTTCTATATGCCTTGGCCATAGAGTAGAATAGATCACTTATGGCCTTTCTGCTCCTTTTGAAGTTTCCACATACATTCTTCCAAAGATGCCAGATGCATGCATAATGAGGTACATCGGGGAACACAATCCTTACACTCTTCATGATACTCTCATTTCTATCTGAAACAACACACATATCTTTTCTATCGCCAAATGCATGTTTGAACTGTTCGAAAAACCATTTCCACGAACAATCATTTTCGGTGTCAACAACACCATATGCCAATGGAAATATGCAACCTGATTACACACACATTATATTATTTGATACTTAATATATAAAAATACATCATTACTATAAATAAAAAATACCTGCGCCATCAAGTGTGCTTGCTGATACAAATGTCCCTTTGTAAGCTCCACTCAGATGTGCACCATCCACAACAACTACTGGTCTGCAGTATTTAAATCCCCTAATGAATGGTCTTAAGGCGATGAACAGATACATAAATTCATCCTCTTCAGTCTTATGCATTCTTATATAAGAATCTGGATACACAGTTTTTAACATGTGTATGTATCGCGGCATCCGTCTATATCCAGCAGATGGTTTTCCTCTAATCATGGAGAGTGCACGTTCTTTAGCACGCCATGCTTGCTGATAAGATATTTCAACACCATAATATTCTCTAATATCATCAATTATATCCCTTGGTGTATAAATCCGTTTATAATTGACCAATTTTGGAGCTGTCACTCCACTTACAAATCCCACTGTTGCTTGGACTTAGGTTAATACCCTCTCCCTCATCGGACACGTATGTTCACTATTGAAATTTCTAACAATGAATATATCAGATTTTTTCCTGCACGACGCCTTCATAGTCCAACCACATTTGTCTGAAAAGCATACCAACACATAGCTGCGTACATTTTTTAAGCATATTAATACACATATCAAATACATCATATATAATATATTCAACAATAATGTTTAAAGTAATCAAACAATGAATCACACAAAAAGTATCAACCAATTTTTAAGAAAAGTATCAAACTTTAATGAAATTTATCCACTATTTGTGATATGACTGTTTAAAATGATACAGTCCTTACTATATCAGTAGTAGTACTTTCAAGTATCAAATATACTTATTTCAATGTATCAAAAACAAATTCCTGAAATGTTGATACATTAGATTATAAAATAACATATGAAACTTGCAGGTTTTCATATAGAACAGTAATGTTTCATGTACTAATTAAATTATAAAACAACACATGATACATTAAAATATCAAAATACTGTCATACCTTTGTTGATCAGACCTCTTCACTTTGCAGTTGAAGTTGTTCTTTATCTTATATTTCGTCATCACATCTACAAGTGTTGCTTTATCCTTGTATATCTGACCTGTCTTCACATCAACAATATCTGAATTGATTATAACATTTGCAACTCCAACTTCTCAATTTTCATGTGTCTCAAATAAGCTATTTTCAACTATTGCCAAAGCCTGTGTATCATTTGTTGTGCCTTCTACACACGTTATTTCTCCACTTCTTCCATCAAAGTTATGTACAGTACCACTATTCATCTCAATTGTGTCAATACATAATGGATATATTGAAAATCCAGGCTCGTTTTTTTTCAGTTCAAAATATAGTTTAACACTCATATCGTTCTTAAGTTTCATCGGACAGGAGTTACCTTCTACAATGTATCGAATTTCAATTTCTTTCCTTGATACATCAATGTCCAACTCGGCCGCAATTGCTGCTTTGAGATTAGAAAACGAAATTGAATCTCCAACAACGATTCCATCAATTTTGTAATTTTCATACTGCAATTCGTTCACCCAAATTCCGGAATGTCTCATCAAAATCGAAGTATTCATCTTCAAAAACTCACTGCAACAACAAAAAAATTTCGGCAGCTCCAATTGTTTTCTAAATAACTGATACAATCTTTGATTTTCAAATTATGAAATTAATATCCAATTAAGTGCTGATTTAATGCTGATTAATGATCTGTTACCACAAATTAAGCTGTTTTAGTAACAACTTTAAATTTACCGTTTTTATCCCCTATTTTTTCTTAACAATTTTAAGTTACTATGTATCATTTACCATGTATCACCAACTTTCTAAAGTATCACAGCTCAGCAATTTTAAGAGATTTTTTGTAATTATTAAACTTATCGGGACAGAATGTAATTATTGAATTACACTATGGGATTCCTTAAATTTATGGGAGATGGGCTGAAGGAGGATAAAAGGTTGGGCTTGGTAATTAAAGGACAATTGCTGGAAATTGTTAAAGGTATTATAAATTTATCCAATTTTAATGTAATTGGCCAATTTGACTAAATCTTAAAAATAAGACAAATTAATACAACTAATTAACAAGCTTCTTAAGTTTAACAAAAATAAAATAGTCGATTCGGATATGAACTAAGGGTTTAAAATATAAGGTGAAATAGTTAATCAAATATCCATACAAAATATTATTATATCTTCTTGATTTTTAAATAATTATATGAATAATTAGGTAAGATATATACGCTAGCTAAAACAAATAAACGACGCTAAACTTTAAACGCAATCAAAATATATTTCACTTATTATTTTTTTATTATTTATATATATATACTAATTTATAAAAAATAATTATTTTAAATTTTTTAAACTCGAGAAGCTCGACAATTAATTACTATCGAGGAGGGTCAAAATTTGGGTGTCAACAACTGTCCCTCATTTCACTTGGATTGATGCAAGAAATTTGAGGAAAATAAAATTGATTAAGCCAATTTTGACCGACCACACATTCATCTTTAATAAAAGGATTGGGAAAAGGGTTTAGGAATTATGGCCGAACCCCGAAAATTCAGGCTATATGAGAATTCAGGCCACTTGTAGTTCGAGTCGATCGGTTGAAAAGAAAATCTATTATGTTAGATAACTTTTGGTTCTGGGAGAGTGACCAATAGGCCGAGTATGAAAAAGAGGCTTGTAATCTCTTAGCCGTGAATGTGGTGCACTTCACACCCGTAACTAAGAACTCACACGGACATAATTTCCAAGTATTTTGGTGGATCATAACTCAGATTGGAAAGTTGCCTTCGGCAGACACCGAGATTTTTGGATGCGGACCGAAACTGGCAAACTGAAAGAAAAACCCACATGCTTTATGATAGGTGTGTGGTTTGATTGTGGTGGAAGTCGCTCCTCTACTCGTGTCCTAGGAGTTTGACATTTCTCTTTGGACTGTGTCCCAGTTCGCTGCTAAGAGAAAGTCCCACATTATGCTGCGTCCTTTTTGACATCGTTAACACCTATGGTTTTTGGAAAATTCATCCTTTCGGATGCTCTCGACAAAGACTGAGATAAAAACTCATCAGCTTAAAATGCAATTAGGATGGGAGACAGTGCCTTTTACCATGTCGACACTCAATTGTTCCCTTCGACATTTGATGTTAACTCGATCGATCTGACGTAACGCAAATAAAACTTTTGTCTGGTGTTTGCAATATAATCTCCAATGTACTCTTCACTTGATGTCGAAATAAATAAATTTTGATACGATGCTGATATTTCTTTTAATGTCTTTGATCAGAATAAAGGAATGCAGTTGATGCCAACGGATAATACTTCTCCTTAGATGCACAATTCCTTCTCCAGTAGTGCATGATTTCTTACGGGACATGAAGATCTTCCCGTGAAAGGAAAATTTCCGCGAGGTATGAAATCTTCTCACGATGTATAATTTCTGTAAGGTATGAGATCTTCTCAAGAGCATAATTTCTGCGAGGTATGAAATCTTCTCACGGTGCATAATTTCTGCGAGGTATGACACCTTCTCGCGACGCCTAGTCTTCCGCAGTGCATGAGTGTTGACCTGCGATGCACGATCTTCCGCGATGCATGAGTATTGACTCGCGATGCATGCGTATTGACTCGCGATGTATGATTTTCCACGATGCATGCGTATTGACTCGCGATGCATGATTTTCAGTGATGCATTTGCATGCATATTGACTCGCGATGCATGAATAATCATATCGCCTCCAACGATGATAACGGTAAAACGTCTTCCAGGTAATACATCGTCTAGATCGATAATAAACTAGTTGATACCCTCCGGGTAATGCATAGTATTATATCCGACATTATGATGCAAATGAGGTCCTTTATAAATTTTGTGTTGTTGGAAATTGATTGAAATAAACAATTCATATTTCCAATTCTCCGACATAAGAGATATAAAATGTCTCTTGCTTCTAGGAAAACTATTGAGTTTGGGATAGTTTTCTTCTCTTTGGACCTTTCGATATTCATCCATCGGAAGAATTTGCTGATTTTAGAGCAAAACAATAAACTTGCATCCACAGAAAAATTGTTAGTTTTAAAAATAAACTTATCTGTGTCGATTTCTTCAGTTATTTGTTCCTTGTCTTGCTATCTTCGGTTGATTTCCTGATCTCTTGACTCTTGATAGATAAGACAAATTATTTTATGCCAAAATAAATGAAACATAAAACGAAAAATTTAAGAGAAATAATTTTTTTGAGAAATAGTATCTAAAAAAAGAGTCTCTGCCAAGTCATGTCATATCAGGCTTAACAAACTTCTTTGAGTCTGATGCTTGAAGGCCTATCTGATCATTTGCTGTGGAGTTTTCAGAGTCGCTCCGGACTTGCGGATAAATCTGTGCTGAAATTTTGAGGTCATTCTTAGAATTTCTGTCCCAATTAATGTTTTGCTTATCTTTCCACTGTAACTGAGCAGGTCGCGGAATTTTTTAGATCTTCTCAAAAATTCTGTCCCAGTTGCAAATCTCAAATCATTTTCTGTCTTGACTTGCTGAGGAAGAATCTTCTTCTCGAGAATTTTTGACTCCCTCTCAAAAATTCTGCCCTTGTGGCGCCTATGTATCCTGTTGAGACAGGATTGAGGTGAAACGTACTTCCCCTCAAAGATTAACAAAATAAAAAGCATTTACAAAGAAAATCGACCGAGGCCGACATAGGTCGCCTACGTATCTCATTCTTGAGAATTCAGCTCGAACGTAGTTCAGATATAAAGAAATAAATAAAGGGGATAAATTAGGTGATCGAAGCCGACATAGGTCGCCTACGTATCTCATTCTTGAGAATTCAGGTTAGACGTAGTTCATTACAAGAGGGGTAAAATTTTAAGTAAAACAAATACAAGTAAACAAAATGATTACAAGTAAATAACAGAAATGCAAATCGAAGCTTCACACGTAGTATCTCTTGACAACATCTGAGTTGATAGGTTTAAGTCATACAGTGACATCCATATCCGACAGGACCAAAGCACCTCTAGATAATACTTTGCAAATCATGTATGGCCCTTGCCAGTTCGATGCAAACTTTCCTTTGTACTCGTCTTGATGAGGAAAAATACGCTTAAGAACCAACTGACAAACCTCAAAATTTTATGCTCGTACTCTCTTGTGAAAGACACGAACCATTCTCTGCCTATACAATTGACCATGACAGACGAAAACCATTCTCTTCTCATCAATCAAAGTTAGTTGGTCAATCCGCTTGCTAACCCATCCAACGTTACTTAACTCAACTTCTTTAATGATTCTCAAAGAAGGTATGTCGACTTCAGCAGGTATGACTGCTTCTGTTCCATATACTAGCAAATATTGAGTGACTCCAATTGATGTTCTGACAGTCGTGCGGTATCCTAATAGAGCATATGGTAACATCTCATGCCAACCTCGATGCTTGTCAATCATTTTCCTCAATTTTTTTGATATTCTTATTGGCGGCCTCTACAGCTCCGTTCATTTGGGGACGATAAGCAGTTGAGTTTCGATGAGCAATCTTAAATTGCTCACATATCTCTCTCATCAAGTGATTGTTGAGATTTGCGCCATTATCAGTAATGATGGATTCTGGCACTCCAAAGAATCTACATATCAGATTGTTGCGAACAAAATCAGCTACAACTTTCTTGGTTACCGACTCGTATAAAGCTACTTCCACCCACTTGGTGAAATAATCAATGGCGACCAATGGCCAAGGTGAACTCATAGCAATAAGTTCATGAGGTGGCACTCTGATCAAATCACCGTGCACTTGACATTTATGGTACTTTTGTATAAATTTGCAAACGTCATTCTCCATAGTCATCTAGAAATACCCGGCTCGTAATATCTTTCTTGACAAAATGAGTCCATTCATATGCGTGCCACAAACTCCAACATGTATCTATTCAATAAGCCTCACAGCTTCGACGGGATCAACGCATCTTAGAAAACCCAAATCTGGAGTCCTCCTATACAGTATTTCCCCACTCAAAAAGAAATTGAGAGCCATATGGCGTATCAACTTCTTTTGGTTGGACTTAGCATTTTCAGGATATGTTCCAGACTCCAAATACTTCTTTATGTCAAAATACCAAGGCAAACCGTCCGGTTTTGCTTCAACATGGGAACAATGTAGTGGGTGTTCTTTCAATTCTATATCCAAAGAATCAATATAATCTGCATCGTCCAATTCATTCTGTATTTTGGGAGTATGTCTGAACTCGATCTTACGAAATCTTTTGCACAACTTCTGCACGTATTGTACGTAAGGTATAATATTAGGGTTCTTCACAACCCATTCTCCTTGAACTTGATGAATCAAAAGATCTGAGTCTCCAATAACTAACAACTCATAGACATTCATGTCGTTGGCCATTTTTAAACCAAGAATACAAGCTTCGTATTCGGCCATGTTATTTGTGTAATTAAATCGAAGCTTAGCCGCCATGGGATAGTGCTGACCGGATTCTGACACTAAGACTGCACCTATACCTTAACCATGATGATTCACCGCTCCATCAAAGAATAATCTCCATCCCGGATACGCTTCAGAAATATCTTCACCAACGAATGACACCTCTTCATCGTGAAAATAAGTCTTAAGTGGTTCATACTCTTCATCAACGAGATTTTCCGCAAGGTGATCAGTCAAAGCTTGTGCCTTTATCGCTTTCTGGGTTACATACACAATGTCAAATTCACTCAACAACATTTGCCACTTGGCTAACTTTCCGGTCGGCATCGCCTTCTAGAAGATATACTTCAATGGATCCATTGTAAAAATGAAATATGTAGTATAAGAAGACAAATAATGTCTCAGCTTATGGGCATGCCACGTCAAAGCACAACACGTTCTTTCCAACAAAGTGTAAGGAGACTCATATGGAGTAAACTTCTTGCTTATATAATAGATAGCCCTCTCCATCTTTCTTATCTCGTCGTGTTGACCAAGTTCGCATCCGAATGCACTATCTGAGACAGACAAGTGTAGCAACAAAGGACTCCTTTCTCGCAGAGGAACCAATACCGGTGGATTGGACAAATAGTTCTTGATAGCATCAAAAGAAGTCTGACACTCTTCAGTCCACTTTGTTGGTGCGTCTTTCTTCAACAGCTTGAAAATAGGTTCACACACCACTGTTGATTGAGCTATGAATCGACTGATGTAGTTTAACCTCCCTAAGAAACTCATCACCTCTTTTCTTGTCTTTGGCGGAGGTAACTCTTTAATTTCTTTAATATTAGTGGGTCGAGCTCAATACCCCTTCTGCTGACTATAAATCCCAATAGCTTCCCGGCTTGGAACTCCAAAAACGCATTTGGCGGGATTTAACTTCAAGTTGTAACTACGCAAACGTTCAAAGACTTTCCTTAGATGTGTCAAGTGGTCCGAACTCTCGCAAGATTTGATTATGACGTCATCCACATACACTTCAATCTCCTTATGAATCATGTCATGAAAAATGGTCGTCATAGCTCTTATATAGGTGGAATCGGCATTCTTGAGGCTGAACGATATCACCCTGTAGTGATATACACCCCAAGGTGTAATGAAAGCCGTCTTTTCTGCATCTTCCTCATCCATCAGAATCTGGTGATAGCCTGCGTAACAGTCCACAAATGACTGCATTTCATGCCTTTTGCAGTTATCAATCAAAATATGAATATTCGGCAGTGAAAAATTATCCTTCGGACTAGCTTTGTTGAGGTCTCTGTAGTCGACACAAAAACCTGATTTTCCCGTCTTTCTTGGCGACCGGAACAACATTGGCCAGCCAAGTTGGATACTGTGTCACTTCCACCAATCGAAACTCTATTTGCTTGGTGATCTCTTTCTTGATCTTCAAACTCAGTTCAGGCTTGAATTTCCGAGTTTTTTGCTTTACTGGATCGAACCCCGGGTTGATCGGCAGCTTATGAGATACGCCATCGGTACTCAACCCTTGCATGTCACCGACTTCCCAGACGAACACATCCGTATATTCAGCAATCAAATGAATTAGGCCCTCTTTCTGAGCTTCATTTAGGTGGATGCTGATTAAGACTGGTCAACGGACCGGAATGAACCGGTACCGGACCGGACCGGAATCCGTTGACCGGAATTTTGACCGGTACCGGGATGAATTGGACCGGAATTACCGGGATGGTTCATCGGTTCCGTCCCGTTCCACTATATACCGGGACGGAACCGAAATGAACCGGAACGGACCGGGATGGAACGGGACGGGATTAACGGGACGATATTTTTTAAATTACGAAAATATAATTTTTTTTTATTTTTTAAGTATAAATTAATAGTTTTTTAATTTATACTATAATTTTTAACTTAAGTTTATTTTAAAGATATTTTATTAATTTTTTTGATTATTGTTAAGTTTGCAAGTAATCTAATAAAGTTTTCAAAATTTAAATCTTTTGAAGTTTATACTTTATAAGTTATTACTTATATTCATTAATATTTATTTTAGAAGTTATATTTATAACTCGTATCTTGTAAATATTAAATAAATAAAATTTGTAATTTTAAAAAAGTAAATTAAAATAAGGATAAAACAATTACAAAAATTAAAAAATATCAATTTAATTTATTTAAATTTGTAACAAATTACAATTTCAATTTACAACTATTAGTAGAGTACATAGCTTACGGAGCCACCTTCTAGGAAGGGTTCTGTTTCAACTATGTCTTGAATGTAATACTAATAGTTGTATAGTCCCGTAAATCCTCTTTCTAACTCAGCTAGGGATTGATTGTGATCAACTTCTGGTCTTGGTAAATCACGTTGACGATCTTGAATTTCGATGCCATCATCACTACCACATCCAATAGCTGAATCTATGAAAAGTTCAAATTGACTATCTAACTTTGGAAGTCCTTGATTTCTACGCTCAACATTTATCCAGTCTCTAAATAACATTGATATCTCCAGGCTGTCTTCTGCTAACGAAAATTTGTGGTCTCCAATTTGAAATCTTGCCGCGCTGAAAGCTGCCTCCGAAGCTACTGATGATGCTTGAATTGCAAGCACATCCTTCAACCATCCTACTAAGTTTTGGATATTGAGCTCCACGATTTCTCCACCAGTTCAATAGTTCCGGTATACCATTATCGTTTGTAATATCATCTGTACCCTGTTCAAGATATTTAACAAATTCACATTTATTAGAAGAGTCAAGACCAAGTTTATGTTTCACTCGTCCATGAGCACCTACTTGATTCGTAGACGTTTGAGGATTTTCAACATTATTTAAGAATAAATATTTATCATACATTTCTTTTGCAAAGTATTTTATACTATTTTGACATGTTACCAAATCAGGTTCTTCTTCAGGTTGAATATCTAAATTCTGATAAATGCATTCAACTAAAGCTTTTGCACCATATTCTTTATATTCGGGGTTGAAAAGAAGTGCAGTTAAATAAATTTGAGGAATAGGAAAAAAATATTTTTTAAATTTTGTAATCATAACTTCAATAGCAGAGGTGAATAAAGTATTTGTTTTATATTCAGAAAAAATAGATGAAATCTCACATATGTGTATTAAAATTTCAGAAATAGTAGGATAATATATTCCAGAAAAAATTTTAGTAGCATCATAAAATGATTTCAAAAATATTCTAAGTTCATTTACTTCATCCTAATCACTATCATTAATTTTAAATTCAGGATAAGCATTATGATTATTAAATAGCGTAGTAATAGGTTGCCTATATGCATAAGCAACTTCAAGCATATCATAAAAGGAATTCCATCTAGTTTTTACATGCTTCGGAACTTTTCTAAACGGAAGTTTAAATGCATTACAAAGTTCTTTAAATTGATTAATTCTACTACTACTATTCATATGAAAAATGTAAAAACAAGCATTATCAATTTTATCACAACTATTTTCAAATAATTTCACACCGTCACTAACAACCAAATTTAATATATGCGCGGCACATCTAACATGAAAAGCATATTTACTAATAGGACAAAGTCTAGGTTCTAGCAAATTAATAGCATTTAAATTAGCAGAGGCATTATCTAAAGTAATACTAACGACTTTATCACAAAGACCAAAAAAATCTAAAATTTCCAACACAGTAGTAGCAATATAAATTCCAATTTTTTTCTTTTGACAAATTTTATAACCAATAATTCTTTTTTGTAAATTCCAATTATAATCGATCCAATACGCAGTAACAGTTAAATAATCAAAACCATTAGGACTACGACCCATATCAGTAGTAATAGCAACTCTACAATCCATTAGTTCAAAATAGGCACGTAAATATTGACAATGTTTTTCTAGAAATTCGAAAATATCTCTTTTTACCATGCTTCTTGATAAACCTTGAAAACTAGGATTATATGTTTCACGAATATAAGCAATAAAACCCGGATGTTCTCCAAAACTAAAAGGTAAACCACAAACAACAACCATTTTAGCAAAGTTTTCACGATCACGATCCTTGTTATAGGTTCGATGTGTAAGAGGACCACTTGGGTTCGAAGTATTTAACTCACTTTGAACCATATTTGATCCTCTCACCGATTCTTCAACATTACAATTTCCAACAACTTCAAGAGAAGACATATATGCAAACCACTCTTTACTATGCTTGTTAATCAAATGTTTTTTTAATCCCCCCGTTGAACCTCCCGTCCCACCAGATGTATATTTAAAATGTTGTTTACAAAGATTACATATACTAAAAGTTTTTTCTTCATTCAAATAACAAAATTTCCACACATGTGATTTTAAAGAACGTTGTACCTTGGTCTTACCTCTAGTTGGAATAATAGGGGGACGAGTAGTTCCAACCGGAGGTGGAGCTTCAATACCTATACTATTGACTGTATTGAGGTCGGCGGCGGGGCTAGTCGGTGTATCATCTAAATCTACTTCTTCATCTAAATTTAATTGTTCATCCGTTTCCACTTCTTCATTTTCTTGATTAATACCATAATGTCTTTCATAGAGTTCATAGGGAGTCGGACTATCTGAATTAATATTTATAGGACCGGGACGGGAAAAACTAGTTTCATTCACATGCGTAAATTCATCTGTATTTATTCTAACAAGAGGAATTTTAGATTTAGACGAACTAGCACCTTTGTTAGTTTTTTTAACTAATTTTTTTACTGATTCTACTAGACCTTTTTTACTTCCACTTTTTTTAGAAGACTCCATGATATAAAATTATAAATTATAAAATACGAAACTTAACAAGAACAATAATATAACAAGAACAACTTACAAGTTAAATAATAAATACAAAAAATAAATATAAGATTAGAGAGTGGAACGAAGTTACCAAACGTTTGTATAAGAGTAAACGATTATAATGAAAATTAAAATATTGATGTCGAAACTTGAAATTTGAAGAAGATTCCTCCTCCGAAATACACCAAATGACCAAATGATATAAGTTATAAATATGAATGTAATTTGGAAATATAT